ATATGCAATAGAAGCAAAATTTTCTAAGTATATTTTACTTTGACATAAGACTATTACATTTGTGTTGTATTTAATGTACTAGATGAAGTCAAATGATATTTGAGGCTAGCTAATGGTTGAGTATGTTGAGAATATTGACTCTGACTTTGATCAGGTGCCTAAACAGACCCTGAAACCCTTCTTTGGAGTCTTGAATGCAAGACTCTGTTTTTTTTGTAGTTTATTTTGAACATTCTCAATTTGCGTGATGTCAGATATGCTTGTTGCAAGGGATAGCTATGTAGCTTCAACATTTGCCATTTCATTGATCTGCGGTACTCTTTCACTTCCTACTCCTTTTGTCTGCAATAGCTTTGAGACTAGTGACCAACAGCTCATCTTTTATTCTTTCTTAGGCCCAAAAGTAAAGGACAAAAAGGATTCTAGGACACTGAGAGTTACCGCTTGCACTTCCCTTACGAGGCTAACCATGGCTCCGGTCTCATTGAAAACAGTGCTTTGCTTATTTTCCTGATGCTTCAAATTCTTTAGGGTCTTCAAGATTTTCCTTTTAGCTGCCTTCCTACAGTTCAATTATTTTCTAACCTCGTTAACAAGCCCTGTTATAGCACCTCTCTTTTGATGCATGATAGATTGAAGTTCTAGTGTGCATTCCTTTACTTGCAATAGGGCATCCTTGCACACGAGTAAAAGCTAAGATATCCATTTAACGGCTCATTGACATATTCCCTCCGCTGCTCTTGGGCTGAGTGACGGTCGAAGCAGCTTATCAATGCAATCATGGAAATCTTTAAGGCTACTGAGTTTATGGTTGCAGGCTGATGATGTAGATGCAGATTCTGATGAAGCCAATCTTTTCAAATGCTCTTCAACCTCTGTAATTAGTGGGTGTGATCTAGATGGCAAGTCATTAGAATGAGCATGGTAACAGGTTCGGATATTGGAAGCAGTGGTGGCCATTATTTCTGCTGGAGATAGAACTTAGCACTTGTGTTCTCAAGTCAATCTGGCAATTTGCCTTCTTTTCTTCATCTACCCAATATATATGATGTGATGGGGAAGACATGAATAATCTCATCCTTTCAAATTGCATTTAAAGGTAATATTGGACTTGACCAGCTTTGCAATTCATTAACTGTAATACCCCAGCTCAAATAATAATTGGGCTAGACTAATATTAAAATTCATCAGTTTATTAAGACATTATTTAATAAAAGAAAAAGGGCTGAAGTATTAGATAAAAAAAAACCTAATTATCGTGAAATAGAAAGAAAATAGAGTTCTTCTTCCTCATCTTCCTTAGAGTTAGAGAATATGAAAAATCAAGTTGGAGATTCACAATCAGAGGTTACAATCAAGTTAATCCCTTAAAAGTTTATTTAAAAAAAAATATCAAGTTGATTGCTATTATTTGGAGTTGAAGTTTTGAGAGCAAAAATAAAAAAAAATCATGAAATCTTTCATTAATCTTAATGATCTATTTGGATAAATTACTAGGCTTTGTTTATTTCATGTTCTTAAGATTTATTGATGATTATTGAATGGAGTTTGAAGGCTGAAAATAAGGATTTGAGTTTTTAAAGATTAAATGAAAAATTCTGTTTTTGAATGAGATGTTGTGATCTGTAATAATGAATTAAAATAAAATTTTGTATTAATGGATAGATTATTGCTGTGATTATTATATATCATTGGAAAGCATGTTGAATCTACTTTCTAATGAAATAAACAGAAGTTGAATTCGAGTTCTCTATGAAGAGTTGTTCAATTTCTACTTAAGGATGTGCAGGCTGTCTAGTAGCAGCAGTGAAGAATTTCGAAATTCTTCTTAATTTTTATACAAGAGATTATGTATTGAGCCATACATGTTAAAAAGGTCATTGAATCTACTTTCAACGAAATAAGGGGAATTGAATTTGGAGTTTCTTGTGAATAAATGTGTAATTTTTATTAGAAGGTATACATGCTGTCTGGCAGTAGCATCTGACGTGAATTTCAAAAATTATTATAATTAATCTACAAGGAATTACGAGATGTGCCATATATGGTTAGAAAGCTTATCAAGTCTAGTTTCTAACGCATTAAAGAGATCATAATTTCAATTTGGTTATTTTGAGATATGACTGTTTTAATGAAAAGAGATCAGGCTGTCAATATTAATTAGTTAAGTTAACCATTTGTGTAACTTAGTTGATTTTTGTATAAATGGTCTCAAAAAGGGTTGATTAAATTCTGATTTATTGAAATGATCTTGGATAGGCCATTAATTATTTTAAGAGAAAAACTAAGTGGTGAAATCGAATGGAGGTAAGTAGAATCTCACACACTTTGCTTGTTTTCGAAACTATGTATATATGTATGTTTCTAATTGAATGAATATTTTATTTCATTATTTTCAATGTATGAAAATAGGATCAAGCATATGATTATTTTTTGTTTTTTTATATAAACGATGAATCATACTTATGAATGAAATGAGAAAATTATTTATGTTTAAAGAATGATTTTATGATAGCTACGTTTTTATATCTCTGGGAAGTGAGATCATCTACAGCAGAACTAGTTCTACGACCCTGGCTAACGGGTAATAGTAGTTAGCAAAGACATGATCATACGACCCTGGTTAACAGGTAATAGTGGTTAGCATAAAGCCCTAGCTAGCGGGTTATAATAGTTAGCAATGATCATGATGATGAAATTATCGATACGGCCAATGTCACGGGTTATGGCAGTGACCGTAGCTAACGATAAACCAATGATAATGATGATTTACGATGATTTTTAATGATTGATCCATGATTTGGTTTGATTATGATATTTGAATGATAGCATATTTTACAATGATTTATGAAGTGATATATTTGACTTGATTTATGAATTTATAAAATATTTGACAAAACGATGATCTTGAAATGTTTTGATATTATGATTTGATGAATGGTTTTAATGATCTATATGATGTGTAAGAAAACAATGCTTGATCTGATAAGATGTGTGAGTCTATACTTACTGAGCTGTGGTTTGCTCATTCTCTTTTTACTTTTTCTTTACAGACTACTAAATGATAAATTTGGTTAGTCTTGTGTGAAACTAGAAGATAAAATTGGTAAGATTACTTAATCATCGGAGAATATGTTGGTCAATAAGATTTTAAAAGGTAATTTTGTATTTTATATGATTTGTATTTGGATATATAAAGATGTATTATCAATTGGATTAAAGATATAGATTTTAGTTGGTAGATTATTTTATTGAAAAATTTTAAAATGTTTAAGAAAGAAGGTTTCGTATTACTTTAAGATTTTTTTCAAGATAATACGATCATATTACGTCTTGATATCGGGATGTAACATTAACATAATTGTTTTAATTAGTAAACTCCTAATATATCTTGATTCTTGAGATAAGACTATACTATTTAATGGGCGATGCATGAGCAGTTTTAAAATTTTTCCACAGACAATGGCTATTGTTTCTACTGTTTTCTTTGCCCTTCTGCCTGCCAGGATTAATTTATTGTCATGCAGGAGGCAAGCAAGATCTGCAGACAATCTCAACTGCTACACATTTTATACCACGGAATAGAAAATGCTTGGAGTTTAATGATTGACGTTGCATGGTTATTAAGCTGTCCTCCTAACTGAAAACACAGCCATAACATTTAAGTTTCAGCCTGTTATCTTACTTGAATTGGTGTATGCATCCATGTGAAAGATCAGTTTTGCAGAGTGATAATATATTATTTCGTTTAGTTTTGAGACAATAGGAATCCTAACAGCTTCAAACTTCAGTAATTGCTTTTCTTTTTCCTTTTTTTGGTTCTATTGTTTTCGGAACTCTAGGAGGTTGCTGGTTATGTGCACCTGCAATTTTAAGATATTTAATTATAATTATCTTTGTATTTTATGTTTTAGGATTAATCATTATTTTTTAGTTAGGATTATTTGTTAATTGATAATGATTATTTATATTTATCATTATCCTTTAGGATTTATAAAGGTCAATATTATGAGTTGAGGTTAAATCAAAATAAATCCAAAAAATTGAGTTTTTTTTTTTTTAAACTATTTTTATTGTCTTGCTTATTAATTTGGTACATAATATTTTGGTATCAAGCATGTTGAGATGTTAGATCAAAGACTTGCCAAGTTAGTGCAATCAATAAGATTGGTATATAAATATATATACATTTGAATCTAATAGTTTCATATAAAGTTGATTATGATGATGGTTGAAAGAGGTGGAAATTTTTGAAGCTGTCAAAAATTTTTTGTCAAATCAAGCACCAGATTTCCTTCTCAAGTCAGAATCATCCAATAACTTTGAGTTCAGGTGGAAAATTTGATCATCTTGTCATCTTTACAATTGCGAGATTATCAAATTTTGTTTAACAAAGAGGTTGATTTTATTTTAGATGAATGACACTCTTAATAGATTAACTTTAATCAAATAGCCATGACATGAGGTATGTTGGAACGATTCAGTTCATTTGTTTCAATTTTAATTTATTTGAGTAAAATTCATCAACAATTGAAACAGTGTAGAAGAATATAGGAAAATGCGAGCGTTGATTTTCAAGTTTTAATCGTTGAGGACAAAAGTTTTTTTAAGGAAGGTGGAATGTTACATACATTTATAATTTATCATTACAGATGCACGTAACATACGTCATTTTTGGAAGAAGAAAGTAAAAGCAAGAGCCAAAGATTAAATTTTTAGTCGACCTAATCAAATTTGCTTAGCTCATCACCGAGTTAACTCAGCTTTCTTAAATTTCCTTCAAACCTTTTAGCATTTTGACTGCAGACTACTTAGTTTGTTACATATTGATGAAGATGACGGAGGCATCCTTAGCCAGTCCTGCATGGATGTTCCTCTACTTGGGAACGCAGTGGATGAGGTCTACAAGGTAAGCTGTCTTATATATATAAGCATTGTGTATATCAATGAAATTTTGTCTGCTTATTTGATGAGTTATGTTCAACAATTAGTCCTGATCCCTAAGTTTCCCTGCAAAGAATTAACACTAAATGTATGAAGAAAAATGTAGATTTATTCATGAAACTTGTATTCATTTATGATCAGATCAAGTAGACACGTATTTTTTAGCCATTTACAAGGATGTACAGCAAAATTGTGGAAAGTTTTTCTGATGCCATCAGTTATAATTTTCTGCAGCTAATGGCTGAGGATGTTCAGAACAGAGACTCTAATTTTGATCAAGAGCCTAAGCACGCACTCCACTCCGTCTTCAAGATCTCGAATGCTTGACTCCAATTTCTGCAACTCAATTTTTGCATTCTCAATGCTCATGTAACTAGATTTTCTATTCTTGTGACCAATGAGAGCGCCAAAAACAGCATCCACTTTCCCAAATTCGTTGGTTTCTGTTGCTTCTCCCCCGCATGTCACGCGTTTCGAGTTGGAGTGCATCAACTTGGACACCAAAGACCATTTGGAAGATTTTGGTTGCATCTTCGTGCCACTGATATAGGACAAGAGTGATTCAAACACTGTGAAGGTAACTCCTCCTACCTCCCTCAACATCCTAATTGTATCTTCAACTTCAATTTCCAAGTCACATTTACTCTTCAAATCTCTCAAAGACTTGTTTGTTAACTTCTTTGCTTTCTTCCTTGAAGCCAAGTATGCCTTAGCTTCATTTGTGAACCCAGTTTCATCACCTCTTCTTCTTCTCAAAATTGATTGAAGTTCTTGGGTATCTTCCTTGGCCTGCAATAATGCATCCTTGGCCACACCACATACATCCAAGAGCCTAAGAGACCCATTCAATAACTCATTAATCTGTTTATCATTGCATTGTTGGGCTAAGGAGTTTTGTGAGAGAGGCAATTGAAGCAAACTATCAACCAACTCATACAGATCTCTAAGGCCACTTAGTTTTTGTCCGATTGATGAAGATGATGCTGAGGCTGCTTCATTGGACTTTAGCCTACAGATATGCTTATCTATTTGAGGAATAAGAGGATGAGGCCTAGCAGGCAAGCTGTTTGAACGAGCATGAAAATTGGATTTTGGGTTCAAAGGTGAAGAAGCCATCTTTCGTCTTAGATCAAAAGGCTAAAAGGCAACAATGTACAATTTGATCAAGTCAATGCATCTTCCCCCCCTAGCTCCGATCATATATATTGGCGAGAGGGAGACAAAAGGAATCTCTTCTGCAACCTCCATGAGTCGTAACGTGATCCTGATCCGGATCACAACATTTTTGCTGCCAATGTTTGCTCAATGTCTCCTCCCAGCCCTAGTTACCACACAATTATGATCTCATCAAACGAATCTTTTTAACAGAAATGATGCTTAATTATTGTGCATGAGTGGCACTGAGGCCCCTGTCTCCTCTCATGCAATAAACAATCATCTACTCGTCCAATCCCTTCTGTATAGTTGTGCAATTTTCCAAGAAAGAGTGATTGCAGATCACACATCTGCTCAATATTTGGTTTTGCAAAAATGGTCCTACATATCAGGCTGAGGTATGCTCATTGGGGGACAAGATTCCAGTGCTGCTCGTGCTAAAATTTGAATAATTTGTAAAGGAAAAACAAACTACAGCCACATCTACAGGTAGCAGACAAGATAAAAAAGAGGCCACATTGCTTGAACGGTGGTAGGATAGACAGGATTGCAAAGCCACTCGTGCAAACTTGAAATCTGAAATTCAGTTGATTGAAGCTAATTTTTTGTGCAACCATAAACCATAAGGTAAAGATGAACGCTGCATTTGAAGTGCTCTTGATGGCCTCATGCTTATGATTCCCGCGTGCAGTAACCACTGTTATTGATGCCCGCGTGCAGTAACCACTGTTATTGATGCTAATTAAAGAGTTTTGTGGTTGATCAATCAAATGCAAAATGGTACAGATAAGACTGTAATGCAAGAGGAAGGTAAGATCCTTATACTTGGTTTTGCAATCTTTACATTATATTATAGAACATCATGAGGGTAACAATTTGTTAGTGGTTGAAGCAACTAGGTATGGCATTTCTACTGCAACTTTCGCAATATGTTCTGCCATTTGATCAGTTTAGGTAGCATGATGGATCTGTGTATGGTGATCCATACTGTTAGGCAAACAACTTTTGTAGTAGTTAAACAAACTTTTGTATTTTCGAAGCCTATAAATTAATGAAATGAAGCTCATGATCTGATGAGCCAATTTATTGCAAGTGACATACTAGTTTCTTCTGTTTTCTCCTTTGTTCTTCCTCTGCTCTAAATCCTTCAATTAGGATCAGAGCAATCTTTAAGGTTTTAGAGGACCTGTGAGCTCCTAAAATTGAGTGAAAAGCCATCAAACACTTACCAGCCAACTTTTGTCAACCTTAAATGGCCTCAAGCAGTTGCTCATTACCTCTACCTCCTATTTTTTCTGGTGAGAGCTACTAGATATGGGCTGTCAAAATAAAGACATATTTGAGTGCTTTTGATTTGTGGAAAGTGATGAAAAATGAGAATGAACCACCACAACTTCCTGTAAATCCAACAATAACTCAAATGAAAAATTATAGTGAAAAAAAAGCAAAGAGGTACAAGGCTAAAAGTTGTATTGAGTCTTCAGTTTCTAATGATATATTCATTAGAATCATGACTTGTGAAACTGCAAAACAAGCTTGGGATGTGCTCAAGAAAAAATTTCAAGGCAGTGACAAGATAAGACAAATGCAAGTGTTGAATCTTAGAAAAGAGTTTGAAGTCTTAAAGATGAAGAAGTCTGAAAATTTAAAAGAGTACAATGACAGACTCATGAAGATAGTAAACAAGATTAGATTACTTAGTGAGGAGCTGTCAGATAAAAGAATTATGGAGAAGGTTCTTGTCAACTTACCAAAAAGGTTTGAGTCAAAAATTTCATCCCTTGAAGACTCCAAGGACCTGATCAAAATAACTTCAGTAGAATTGTTCAATGCTTTGCAAGCTCAAGAGCAAAAAAGGGATATCAGACAATAGGATTTAACAGAAAGTGCTTTTACAGCCAAAGAGAAAGGCAAGATACAAATAGAAAGCAAATGCAGAAAATAAGGAGATCGAAGAAACAAAGGTTTTGGAAACAATGGAAAGAAAGGAAAATTTTCACATTGTTCTCACTGTAAAAAGATCACTCACTTAGAGAAATATTACTAGTACAGACCTGACATACAATGTAAGCATTGTAAGCAGCTTGGTCACATGGAGAAGGTATGTAAAAATAAAAAACAACAGTAGCTAGATCAACAACCTAGAGTTGTTGACAACAAACAATAGCTAAAAGAGCAAGTTTTTGTTGCAACTTGCTATGGAACCAGAACCTCCTCAAGTATATGGCTCATTGACAGTGGTTGCAACACCATATGACATTTGATATCAACATGTTCAAAGAACTAGACAAGACTTATACCTTTAAAGTCAAAATAGGTAATGATGATTTTATATAACTCAAAAGAAAAAGAGTAGTGGCAGTTGAAATACCAACAGGTACCAAACTCATTTCAGATGTGCTATTTATGCCTAAAATAGATTGAAACCTGTTAAGTGTAGGACAGTTACTAGAAAAGAACTACTCTTTAGTTTTCAAATACAAGGCATGCATAATTCATGATCTCACTAACCATGAACTCTTTACTATTAATATGAAAGAAAAATGTTTTTCCTTCCTCTGCATATGCTAATTCACATGATGAATCTTCTTTATGGCATAAAAGGATGGGACATTTCAACTACAATGCATTGAATTTCATGCATAAAAATGATCTTGTATTAAACATACCTATTGTTGAAGTTAGTGTTGGAGTGTGTAAAGTCTGTCAGCTAAGAAAACAAAGTAAGTTGCCATTTGCAATTAACAAAGCATAGAGGGCAACTGAAAAACCACAACTTGCTCATATTGATGTTTATGGCCCTATGAAAACCTTGTCCTTGAATGGCAGTAGATATTTCATTGCTTTTATAGATGATTTTACCACAATATGTTGGATTTACTTCATGAAACAAAAGTCTGAAGTTACAGATGTATTTTAAAAGTTTAAGGCTTGGATTGAGAATCAAAGTGGATGCAAAATCAAGATCATAAGGTCAGACAATGGTACTGAATACACATCTAACAGGTTTAATGCATTTTGTGAAGCTGCAGGAATTGAACACCAACTAACAGCAACTTACGCTCCACAACAAAATGGAGTCAGTGAAAGAAAGAATAGAACAGTCATGGAGATGGCAAGATGCATGCTATTTGAGAAGAATCTTTCCAAAAAATTTTGGACAGAGGCAGTCAATACCTCTATCTACTTGCTCAATAGGCTACCCAAAAAAGCTTTAAAGGGAAAAACTCTTTTCGAAGCCCGGTATAGAAGCAAACCATTAATGCAGCATCTTAGAGTTTTTAACAGCATCTGTTATGTGTTCGTTCCTGATATCAAAAGGGACAAGCTTGATCAAAAAGTAAAAGTCTGTATTTTTTTGGGCTACAACAATATCACCAAAGGCTATAGGACTTACAATCCACTTACAGACAAGATGATTGTAAGCAAAAATGTGAGATTTAATGAGCAAGCTGCCTGAAATTGAAAAAAGTAAAAGGGAGAATCAGTCAAGCAAACTATTACAGACATAATAAGTTTTCAAAATCAAGAAGATTATATGTTTGAAAATAAAATCATTGATCATGAACTAGTGAGAGAAATCAGACCACTCACAGATATTTATCAAAGATCAAATGTTGCCATTCTTAAACCTGCAAGCTTTAAAGAAGCTGTCAAATTTTTAAAATGGAGAAATGCCATGAAGAAAAAGATTCATATGATTGAGAAAAATCAAACATGGATGCTGGTTGACAGACCAAGCAACAAAAATATCATTGGTGTTAAATGGATTTTCAGAACAAAGTTGAATGTTGATGGTTCCATCAACAAACTTAAAGCTATATTGGTAGCTAAAGGCTACTCCCAACAGCTTGGTGTTGATTTTTTAGAGACATTTGCTCCAGTTGCAAGGTTGGACACCATAAGGCTGCTATTAGCCTTAACAACTCAGCAAAGTTGAAAAATATACCAACTTGATGTCAAATCTGTCTTCTTGAATGGTTATCTTAAATAAGAGATTTACATTGAACAACCTGATGATTTTATTACCAAAGGAGATGAGGGCAAAGTCTATCTACTCAAAAAGGCTTTGTATGGATTAAAACAAGCTCCAAGAGCTTGAAATTCCAAAATTGATGATCATTTGTTGAAGTTAGGATTCAAGAAAAGCCTTAATGAAGCAACATTGTACATTAAAGTTCTTAACAGTAATAATTTGTTGATTGTTTCTTTGTATGTTAATGATCTTTTGGTGACAAGTAGCAAATCAACTCTTGTGGAGGATTTTAAACTCCAAATGCAAGAAGTTTTTTAGATGATAAATATGAGAGAAATGTCTTATTTTCTTGAAATGAAAATTCATCAAGACCAGCAATGAATCTTCATTTGTCAAAGAAAATATACAAATGAAATCTTGAATAAGTTTGGGATAAAAAATTGTAAACTAGTCAACACCCTTTTGGCTCAAAATGAGAAGCTCATTAAGAAAGATGGAGCTAACAAAGTTGATGGTTCTATTTATAGAAGCTTGGTTGGTTGCTTATTGTATTTGACAGCAACAAGACCATACATCATGTATGCTACAAATTTACTCTTTAGATTCATGCAAATCCTAGTGAGTTGCATTTTAAGGTTGTAAAAAGAGTGTTAAGATATGTCAAAGGAACCAATGAAGTTAGAATTTGGTTCAAGAAGAATGAAAGTTCAAGATTGGTTTAATTCACAAACAGTGACTGGGCTGGCTCTCATGAAGATATGAAAAGCACTTCAGGCTTTGTGTTCTTCATTGGATTAAATGTGTTCAGCTGAAATTTAAAGAAACAAGAAACTGTGGCTCAATTGACAGCAGAAGCAGAGTATATAGCTACTGCAGCTGCTGTCAATTAAGTAATTTGGCCAAGAAAAATTTTGATGGATTTGAGTCAAAAGCAAGATAATCCAACAGAAATTTTTTGTGATAATCAATCAACAATTGCAATGGTCAAGAACCCTGTGTTTCATCGAAGAACTACGCATATTAAGATCAATTATCACTTTATTAGAGAAGTTGAAGCTGAGAATGAGGTGAAGCTAGTGCATTGCAAGTTAGAAGATTGCAGATATTCTGACCAAGGCCTTACCAAAGGCAAGGTTTAAAATAAGGAAAAGTCTTGGTGTTTCCAGTAGAAATGTCAAGGATGAGTGTTAGTGGTTGAAGCAACTAGGTATGGTATTTCTACTGTAACTTTTGTAATATGTTCTGCCATCTGATTAGTTTAGGTAGCATGATGGATCTGTGTATGGTGATCTATACTGTTAGGCAAATAACTTTTGTAGTAATTAAACCAACTTTTGTATTTTTTAAACCTATAAATTAATGAAATAAAACTCATTTACTGCAAGTGACATTAATTTCTTCTGTTTTCTCCTTTGTTCTTCCTCTGCTCTAAATCCTTCACAATTACATATACAGGGCATAAGATGTCAAGAACGTTTTGATTTCTTAGAACGAGTGAAATATGAGTCAGCCATGCAAAAATCCGGATCTATATTGTAAGAATTTAATTGTTTTCTTTGAGACCAATTGGAATTTGACAGATTTTATTTTGATAAAGAAGCCATATTAGGTCCCTTCGCAATCAAATCATTTTGACAATGCAAATAGTGTTATCCTGTCAGCTATTTTTATGATCTAAACTCATTGAGTCGTGAGGTTCATTCCAATGCACTTGAAATAGATGGTTACTAAATGCAAAAAAGAACTAAAAAGTGAAGATGAAAAGTAGGAATATGCAATAGAAGCAAAATTTTCTGAAGTTTATTTTACTTTGGCAAAGCAATATTTTCCTCTATTGACCTTGTCTAATTTCTTTCATTGGAGATTTTTTTTTTTTTAATCTGAAAAGAAGGTTAAAATAAATGCTACTGACAAAGAAAATGGGACATGCAATGCTCATTATATTATGTGCGAAAGAGTAAATAGTTATAGTATGAAGAGCATATTTCATTTCTATACATGATTGACAGGTGGAGGTAATCACAATTTTTTACAGGGTGAGGATGCTGAGAAGGGAGACTCTAGCTTTGATCATACATCTGAAGAGGCACTCATGTCCATCTTCTAAATCTTGAATACACAGATCCAAGTCTTTTAGCTGGTCTTGCATCTCAAAATTCATGTTCTCAGATTCGCTTATCTTCTGACCCGCTAGTGATTTTAAAGCAGCCTCAACTTTTTCTAATTCATTTACGTTTCTTCCTACTTCCTCACATAATACTCTTTTGAGGTGCAATAGTTTCGAAATTAAAGACCAACTTCCAGGCTTTGGCCCTGAGATCACAGATAACAAATACTCAAACATGGAAGAAGTGACTGCTTCAACCTCCTGTAGCATGCTAACAATGGCCTTTGCCTCGTGATCTTCTGAAGGAGAGAAAATATGTTTTGTTTGCATGCCCTTCAAATTTCCCAATACCTTGTGGATAGTTGTTTTGACAACTTTTCCGGAGGTTAAGTACTTCCTCACCTCACTTAGAAGCTCAAGTTCACCACTCTTCCTTCTATGCAAAACTGATTGAATTTCATTTGTGCTCTCTTTTGTTTGCAGCACAACATCCTTCGTAGTTCTGTACAAGTCCAGGAGCCTCAGAGAACCATCCAACAACTCATGAACCTATTCTTTGTGTTTTTTTTGTGCTAAAGCTTGCCGGGATAAAGGCAGCAGTCTGATATATATATATATATAGAAGCATTGTGTATATCATGGAAATTTTGTCTGCATATTTGATGTGTTACGTTCAACAATTTCTCCTGATGCCTAAGTTTCCCTGCAAAGAATAAACAATTAATGTATAATAAAGAAAAATTTAGATTTGTTCATGGAACTTATATTCATTTATGATCAGATAAATTATACACGTATTTTTTTTGGCCATATACAAGGATGTACAGAAAAATTGTCGAAACTTTTTCAGATGCCATCAGTTATAATTTTCTGCAGCTAATGGCTGAGGATGTTGAGAATAGAAACTCTAGTTTTGATCAAGAGCCTAAGCACGCACTCCACTCCATCTTCAAGATCTTGAATGCTTGACTCCAGTTTCTGCAACTCAATTTGTGCATTCTCAGTGCTCACGTAACTAGATTTTCTATTCTTGTGACCAATGAGAGCGGAAAAAACAGCATCCACTTTCTCAAATTCGTTGGTTTGTGTTGCTTCTCCCTCGCATGTCACGCGTTTCGAGTTGGAGTGCATCAACTTGGACACCAAAGACAATTTGGAAGATTTTGGTTGCATCTTTGTGCCGCTGATATAGGACAAGAGTGATTCAAACACTGTGAAGGTAACTCCTTCTACCTCTCTCAACATGCTAATTGCATCTTTAACTTCATTTTCTAAGTCACATTTACTCTTCAAATCTCTCAAAGACTTGTTTATTAACTTCTTTGCTTTCTTCCTTGAAGCCAAGTATGCCTTAGCTTCATTTGTGAACCCAGCTTCATCACCTCTTCTTCTTCTCAAAATTGATTGAAGTTCTTGGGTATCTTCCTTGGTCTGCAATAAAGCATCCTTGGCTACACCACATACATCCAAGAGCCTGAGAGACACATTCAACAACTCATTAACATGTTTATCATTGCACTGTTGGGCTAAGGAGTTTTGTGAGAGAGGCAATTGAAGGAAACCATCAACCAACTCATACAGATCTCTAAGGCCACTTAGTTTTTTGCGGATTGATGGAGATGATGAAGAGGCTGTTTCATTGGACTTTAGCCTACAGATACGCTCATCTATTTGAGGAATAAATGGATGAGGCCTAGAAGGCAAGCTGTTTGAACGAGCATGAAAATTGGATTTTTGTTTGAAAGTTGAAGCCATCTTTTGTGTTAGATCAAAAGGCTAAAGGCTTCAATGTACAATTTGATCAACTCAGTGCCTCTTCCCCCTCTAGCTCCGATCATATATATTGGCAAGAGGGAGACAAAAAGAATCTCGTCTGCAACCTCCATGCGTCGCAACGTGATCCTGATCTGGATCACAACATTTTTGCTTCCAATGTATGCTCAATGTCTCCTCCCAGCCCAACTTACCACACAATTATAATCTCAACAAACTAATCTTTTAAACAGAAATGATGCTTAATTATTGGGCACGAGTGGCACTGAGGCCCTGTCTTCTCTCATGCAATAAACAATCATCTACTAGTACAATCCCTTCTGTATAGTTGGTTATGCAAAAATGATCCTAGATATCAGGATGAGGTTTTCCTTATTGGGGAACAAGATTCCAGTGGTGCTTGTGCTAAATTTTGAATAATTTGTTTATGAAAAACAAACTACAGCCACATCTACAGGTTGCAAACGAGAAAAAGGAGGTCCCACTGCATGTTAGGTGGTAGGAGAGACAGGATTGCAAAGCCGCTTGTGCAAAGTGGAAAAACAAGTGTTGAAACCTCGCCGACTTGCCACATTACTCAAAAACTTTAGACAACAAATTGTTTCTTAGCATAAGACATAAAAGCAATTAGGAATGGCATTTAAGCCGTCTTCTATTTTTTCTTGCCTCCAAAACATGAGGACTCGGAAGATTGGTGGAAAAATATTATGTTAAACAGTTGCAGATATCAAGATGAGTAGTTAACCAACAATGGCGACAAGGCAAGTTGAGGCACTGGACACATTTTGAAAAAACTGTCACCTTTATCCATTTTTGTTATGAAAAGAATGAAAGAATGACTATAATTACACCTTTGCTCCAACATTCTGGGGAGTCTGTTAAGGCAAAATCGTATCAGTCTACGAGATAATTGCTTTTATAAGAGAAATTGAGAATTTTCTTCAGGAAACCCATCATTGAGACATGGTGGAGCCTCCTTGATGAGTTAAGCATATATTTGCAAACATTACGGACAGATACTCCATTCACAAATGGGAGGAAAATACATATTCTTTGCTATTTCATACAATTTCAATTTTCAAATTCAATTTCAAGCTCAGATTTTTACACAAACTTTGGGCAGCCTCAACAAGAATGGGTACAGGGGTGTAGAATCAATACTAGATGTTTGTTCTCATGATCCCTTCACCCCTCGTTGCTTCTTTTCTTCAAGCCCAGCAGCTTCATTCAACATGTCTGCGGCATCCTTATGCATGTCTAGTTTGGCAAGGGCAACTGATTGCATATAGAAGGCCGTGGGCCACTCAGGATTCACAATTTGCGCCTGCATTGCATCTGCAAGGGCACCATCTGGTGTTTCGCAAAATAGATAGCACAGACTGCGCCGAGCAAAAACAGTCGGGGAGACCATGGTTCCGACGTCTATGAACTGCATAGGAAGAAAAAGTAACCAAAAGGCTTCCATCCCAAATCAAGATGGTTTAATACTAGTCTATGTTTAACATTTGTCTCATTACAGCATGAGAAAAACTTATGCAGATGGTCAAGAGGGTCAACTTCAAGCACATAACCTCAATTACATAAATGGTCATTTTGGTCAAGAAAAGCTGCTTGATGATATGATAACTAACCTGTGGTGAACACTAATATATATTTCCACATATATATTTCCAAAGGAGAAAATTAAGAACACGAACCCCTTCCAAGATAAGAAAAGGATAGATGACAGGAAAACCAACAAACAGGAAATTCCATTAATACAATATCAATTGTCAAAGAACTATGGAAATGTCAAAACAATAACTTAGCACGTTAGCATCATTGACAAATTTTCAACCAAAGAATGTAAAACTTCTTGACAAGTTAAAGTCTTAAAGTTAAACCTGGGAATAACAGTCAATTGCAGTTTTAAAATCTTTATCACGGAATGCATAGTCCCCTCGCTTCCTAGCCTCAAGCATATCTCTCATCTGCTGAGTCCACTCTTGGAAAGATAACTGAAGCAATCCACAATTATATAAACTTCTTAGCAAAAGACTAAAGAAAATGGATTGAAGAAATCACTCATACAAGTCATTCACCTCATTAGTCCCTTCATCATCCTTGTAGTGATTCATCACCAATATCTGATGAATTGCTGTGAGGTCAAGTCGTGAACAGGCCTCACCCATTGGTGAAAGTGGACGCTGTAGAGTTGGTGGAGCTTCCTCATACTTTGAGATTCCAAGCATGACATAAGATGGAACCTGCAAACCAGGAGATATAATAATCAGGATCTAAAAAGAAAAGCACGCTCCTCTGATATTCAAAACAACAGAAACCAGATAATAAATGTAATGAAATTCACTCCATATCATGTTTTAGCTTTTGGACAGTTCAGGTAACGATAGCAGAGGTGAAGCACGTAAGGAAGCATTGATACAGAAGACCTTTAAGTATCTGGGACAACTCAGATACAAAAGTCATCATTTTTTCATCCGATCTAGGTCCATTGAGTGATTTAAATCACTATAGAAACCATATATGTGAAAATTTTCAACTCTTAACTAAAGGGAATAGATGCAACCTACAGGTCCAAAATCTTTGGCTCACCAATAAATTAAGAATAAATTATTATGAAACTGAATAGGTAAAAGCAGCAAAGTTCCTTACATCAGGTTTGGTATGCAATGGAGCAAGTGTGGCAATAATGTCCTTCGTACTGGGCCGCTCCCTCGGTTCATATTGCAAACATTCAGAGGCAAGGCCAACAACCACAGTTGCCTCCTCTGTAGAAAATTTTCCCTCTAAATGTGAATCCATGAGGAGAATGATGTTTTTACCTCGTATCATATCAAGTGCCTGCAACCATGCATAGCCATCAAGAATAAAACCAAAGTTTGTATCCTTCAAGATTAAAACTGTCATATAGTAAAACAGGTAAAAGCATAAGACAAGCAGCAGTTGAAAAGGAATAGTAAAGTTGGTAAGTACAAGATTTCAAAATTAATCAGAAATAAATGAATTGAACCATAGCAGTTAAATCTCATGAACTCACAATCCAAATAGCAAGTTCTCATTCACAAGAATTGCAAGAGTCCATAAGATAACTGATTCTGAGTTGCACAGTTTGAAAATGAAAGAAAACCTACACAATAGTACATGTGCATCCCTTGTACCACAATATAAGCCACTTAATCCACTTACATGACTAGGAGGGATGTGCTTCCCACTTAGCAAATCAAGAAGAACAGTGCCAAAGCTGTAAATAACACTTTGAGGGGTGACTCTCCCTACAATTTACAAGATTGTGGCAATAACAAGCATAAGTTCGAGAAAATTCAATGAAAAGAATCATGCAATTTGAAAAGAGAAAATAGTTGTCATACATCATAAAACAGTAATAATTGCTCAGAACAACACAATGACAGATAAAACAGCCAATAATACATCTGGAGATGATTTTCTACATGACATAGTAAAGATCAGAACAACTCATCTATGTGAACACAAAATCACAACCAATTAAACATTAACATCAGAATCCATTTTTATAAAAGCCTGGCCTCCAATTCCCTATTTGTATGCTCTATGAAAAATACTAACCAAGTTTCTGCCAGAGAAAGTGAGGAAGAAACAAAGATATCTAGAAGTTGCAATAGTAACTGTTGTAAGAAGAGGAAGTCTGCGAATGTTGGTAACCTAACATCATTCATATCATTTACTCAAACTTCATTGAAGAACATAAGAATGAAACACAAATGAAGAGAAGCCTTTTACAGGGAACACATGCAAGCAATTGAAGCAAAACCAATGGATTTGACATAAACCAATTATGTCAAGTAACATTAGTAAGGACCAAAGTAAATTCCAGATATGCGTAACAGGTATATCCCTTTACATTTGGACAAAATACTAACCACCAGAAATAAATCAAATAGCAAAGGAATTACCATTTCTTAGATACTCAGGAGGTGTGTAGGCAAGATTAGTACTATAACTTTTCCCATCCCTGCTATTTTTCATCAGGCCGAAACATGAAAGACGTGGATCACCATCCTACAAAATCCATTAGAAAGACATCAATTACTGCCCTAAGTGATAGTTAATGCTAGAGAAAGAGGCAGAAAATAAGTCTATACATAATAAGCAATCTTAAATTCAAGAGACCAATACCTCATCAAACATAACCCTGTAAGCATTTAAATCATGGTATAACGGATGGCCCTCACTGCTACAATAATCTAAAGCTTCGGCAATACAGGAAGCTACTCTTAAACGCACTGCCCACTCAATGGTTTGATTTTCCCCTGTATAATATGAACAAAGACGCAAGTTTAGTCTGAGATAAACAGAAAAGCCCAGATGTATTCTCAACCTAAATGCATCTAACTAAAAAAATAAAACAATCAAAGAATATTATCATTTATATCAAACTTACCAATAAAATCTACTTGTACTCTATCCTATAAAATCAGTATGGATTACAGAAACTCAATAAAATAGCAAGAAATTAAAACAAAAGTTCTTGGATAAACTGCTTTTAGCATGAACAAAGAATCAAGAATAACTGGAAGAGAAACAAAGGCTAAGCTAGAGTTACGTAAGGCATGTCATTGGCAACAATTAGCAAGACGTAAAAAATCAAGCCTAATAAATAAAACTACTTAAAACATGAGCAAGAAAGTTTTTTAAAAAAATTAAACAAAAAAAAATGGATTTCTTCTAGTTAAATGAGAATGAGAACTGACAATGAAACAAATGCTTAGCAAGAGTATCATTAATCATGTACTCAGCAACAAGCAGCCTTTCATCTCCATCACAGCAATACCCTATCAAATTTGCCAGCCTCCTGTGTCTCAACTTCCCTACTCCCCATGCTTCCTCCTAACCAAAATCCACAAAAACCCACTTCAAATATTTTTAACAAAAAACCCAAAAAAACAAAAAAAAAAATAAAACCAAAAATAATTATAATAGCAATACCGCAAACTGTTTGGGGTCAGGCCAAGCCATCTTAGCGAACTTCTTAACAGCGATCCATTTCCTGTTTTGTAAACGACCTTTATAAACTAGGTTGGGAGCTTTTTCCCCACTTTCGGAAACTATGTTATCTGGACTGAAATTATTGGTTGCCGCTTTAAGGTTAGCCAAAGAGAATTCCAAGAAAGAAGGGACTCCATTAGTAGCAGCCGGGTCGGGTTCAGAACCCGAACCTGATTGATTATGGTTCCGTGGCTGCTGTACTTCTTGCTGAGTCTGTTCTTTTTCTGGATGGGTCTCTGTTAGAAAAGATGATTCACAACAACCCATAATTCAGTTTGATTGAAGCTCTCTTTTACTTTTCAGAACAGAAATCATAAGACAAAGAAAGACAAAAGGCTAATAAAAAATGGGTTTTAGGACTTTGAGGGGAGCTTTGGGTTTCTGTCTTTGTTACTATAACAAAGTAGTTTGTTTCCTTGTTTTAAAGGTTGAGTTTTTGTTATGTTTCAGGTTTTTTCTCGCCTTTGCGAGGAGGCTGTTCACTTCTAGCTTTTCCTTTTTCAATGCTTAACTGGTTGAGGTAATAAAGGAGGTGATCATTTCCGACTTTAAGACAGTGATACTCACTTTTTAATACAGCCCCTGGGAAATTACTAAGCTGCTTCTCTCAAGTTAAATCATAATTCATCAATCATAAATGCTTTTTCCTGGAGTACTTAAATTGCAAAATATTAGTATACCGTATTTACCTTCAGCTTCACACTGTTTTTTTTTTTTTAGTTTCATAATTATTGTATTATAATTTATATCAATATATTAAATATTAAATATTTTTATTTTTAATAAACTTATATAAAATTTTTATTTAAAATTTTAAATTCGATAGCTTTCTTTTTTTTATCACTTTTTTATTATATAATTATCATCTCATATTTAAAATTATTTAGTCTTTAAAATCAATTTCACATTATTAAATATGAGTATAGGAGGAAAATTGGAAGTAAATGTGAAAGGAATGCTCTCTTTTACTTAAAAAATAAAGGAAAAGAAGACTCATTCATTCATTTTATTTATTTATTATAATTTTACCTTTGTTTTTTTTAGTTTTGTACCAATAATAGGGAAAATTGTGAAAGAAGTATGAGACTTTTCTCTTTCTTTTTTTCCTCTTTATTAATTTCCTTTTCAATATTTTTCCATTACCCTTTTACACTGTTCATGATAATACTATGAATAGAATAATCACAGTAAAGCAAAATGTATGAAACTTGTGTTGGCAGATGATAAATCATGTTTGTTAAGTGATTACATCAAAAATTCTATCAACTTTTGCTCTAATTTCATAAGAAAATGCCAAAAGGCTGGAAAAGTTCATTGAACCAAAAACTTCTACAAGTAACATATGAATGAGATTTATTAGGTGTCAACAAATTAGTCCTTTTTTACAGCTAAACTTGACCCATCAGTATTTGATTAAATTAAAATTTTTTATTAAACCTTATCATAAAAATGCCTTTACAACTATGTTAGATCCCCCAATTTTGAGGTCACCAAAAAATAGAATAAATCCCTTTTTTTTCTTCAAATTTTCAATAATGGGTTTTAAACATTTAGTGATTCAGGCTATTCATTATTGTTCTTTCATGTGGTTGAACTATTTTTCTTACAAGACAGAAGGAGAATATTTTGTTTACTTGTTTTTATGTTCTTCTCAATTTTGTGTCATTTTTGGTTCAAATTGGCTTTAATGAGAATCCAAGAACAGATTAAGCATAAAAACTGATGGAGAAAGCATAGATTCTCCACCAATAGCTGGCCTAATTACTTGGTTCCAGCAATTGGAGATGACCACTCCCCTAGATGCCAGAGCATGGCAATTTGTCTAAGGAAGAAAAGAAAGATTTTCTTCCAGCTGGGACTTGGGGGAAAGCCTAACAAAAATATTCTGAAATAACTTAACAACTCCATTCATAGTTAGGCAAGACAGCAGTAACCATTTCAGAAGTCATGACAGATTATAAGGTTTGTCCATTCATGGGGCCAACATGCCCTTTTATGGCTGCCAAATTGGGATTAATTAAACAATAACCATTATATTTGGAAGAGAAAATTATATTATATCAAAATCCAAAGTCAAGGGCTTTTATGAAATAATTACAATAATAATCAATACTAAAAATAGTGTTAGGCAACCGACAATTATGTAATCTGTTAATAAAATTCTCAACTTATAATTCTAATGATTAAAATTTAATTTTTTATAATCTTAAATATATAAAAAAAATGTTAAACGAAGGTCTTATTTTTTTGCTGCTTCATTTTCTCAGGGTAGAAATTAGTATAAATGTAAAGGATTCAAAATGATGAACATGTTTTTATAAATTTATAGACTCCACCTACCCACCCATTTTGGTTTGTGAGGAAAAAAATAAGTGGAACGAAAAGAAAAAGCCTTCATTTCTGGAAATAGAAATTGTGAATTTGTATTATGCCAAGACAAATAAAGTCTGCCTAACATCATATCAATTTAGGGTTTAAATCAAAGCTTTCATTTAAATGAAATTGCTAAAGTTGTTTGGCTTTGGTTCAACACCACCAGCTTCCATTTAAATCAATTCAGTTTTCATAGAGAATAAATTGAAGTGAAAATCACTAATTGAAAGCCTTGAAATTCACATTTGGACTTAGAAGAACAATCCACCGCCCCTTAGAAAGGGAGGCATTAATCATGGATTACTTCTTGGATTTTCTTTTCTGCATTAATCATGGCAGCAACAGTTGTTCAGATACGTTTCAGCTGGAAAATTCATAATATTGAATCTATACTCTCAGATGCTGTAGTCTGTCAAGTTGGGTATAATTATTTTCAAAACATTGCATCAAATAGTAGTATAACACCAACCCATTATCTGCTACTTTAAAATACGATATAATTATAAGATATAAAAAAAATTATGATTTAAAATTTTTAAAATAATTATATATAAATTTACAAAAAACAAAAAAAATACAGTAATACTATTAGTTACTACTACAAACTACAAAGTCAGTATGAGCAAATGATAAGCAAACCTAGATAATAGTTAAAGGGCACTTTTAATGTTTAATGCAGGCAAAGTTCTTCAATGGTACAAATTTCATTTTGACATGTCATAACACCATCCTTTATTGACAATGCTTTCAATTTGCAGGGTGTCGAACTGTCTTCTATACAAAATTGACGTAATTTAATTCACAATGGAAAAGAAAATGGCATTACAACATTTGGTTGTGGGTATTCCAGTGACTTGCATCACTCTAAAATGCTCACAAAAACCACATTTAAAACTCCTGATCATGCAAAACTGATGGAGAATCTGCCTACTCCGATGGCTTGGTCACATTGACGGCTTTCGTTCGCAAAAGTATGCCAAATTTTTTTATTTTTTAATGAAAGAGTGGTGCATGATGCCAACTAGTTGGTAGAAAGCTATGAGTTGCACTTTTGAGTGAGATTTTGGACACCGTGAATAGTTCTCACTTCTAACCACCCCCACATGAGCAAATGCAAAACCAATATCCCACGCTCTTGGCAAAGCTCGAAAACTGTCAGTTGAAGGCTTTGCAATCCGCAACAACCAGCTACTTGCCCCTCCTGATCTCTTCACTTATGCATCATAGCCCATCTGTAATTATTCTTGATCAGAGGCAGAGGATGAATCATCTCCTCAACATTAACAATGGAAGGCTTGCTCCTATCTTATTTCCCTCATCACCTGATTGACTCCAAGTCTTCCCTGACAGAAGAGCAACCAGCCAAGTTGTGCATTACAGGACCCGTCTAACCACCAGTTAGCTTTATTTCTCACCGGGCAACAGATTGCAAATCCAAAGGGATGCCACAATTCAATTCATTTTATGGCCCTATGACACTCTCTCGCGCTCTTGAGCAATCCTTTCTTTAACACGTTGCAAAAGCTCCTCATAGGCTTTTGAGGACTCAGAAGTGAACCTTTCCATTGCCTCAAAGATGCGTTGCAAGCTCCCCTGCAAACTGCTGTTGCTAGTCTCACTCTGATACGCAACATTTCCAGCTACTGAGAGACTATCACCATTTCCAGAGACCAAAACAATTTTTTTATCTAATGCTTGGATCTCTTTCTGTAACTTTTGATCCTCTCTCTCCAAACTCCTAGCCTTTCTCTCTAAATCCTTATTGCCCATCATTCTCCGGTGCATTTCTGATTTATCTTGTTCCCAAAGCTGGAGGACACTCGTGACAAAAATCCGCATAGAGTCAACCACCTCCCTTTCAGATATTCTATCCATTGCTTGTGACCACTGATTACATATTACAAATATGGGGGGTGCACCTACCCTACTAGGTGAGAAGGGAACTATTCCATCATCTGTCACTTCAGGTTCATAGTAAAGACATTTCAGAAGCCAATTATTCAAAGCCCTGACATAACCCTTCTGGGCACCTATCCAATTGGAGAATCCTATAATCCAACTTATAAGTTCATGCTCAAGCTGCAATGTGGCCCTAAGATGATCATCACTGAGCTTTTTGCCAGATCCAATAGAACCTAAAGTTTTGGCTTCTCTAATCACCTGACACTGATTACGATGGCATTCAAGCATAGATTTCCACATTCTGTTTAACCTGGGAAAAAATTACAAGGAAACAACATAAGACTAATGTAAAAATGATGGTTGTAAAAGATAGGTACATTTTGGTTTTGAAGTGACAAAAAATTGCAAATTCAGTACAATTAAGGAAATAAAAACCATGAAAAAAGACAAAAATATCACGTTAGGAAATAAAAAAGTGCACAAGAGATTCAATTGGAAAGCAATTTGACATCATTATCTACAATCATGCACTACTGAGCCAGCCAAAGAACGTTTGCTTTACTTCTCAGGCCTTTGTATGCTATTCATATAACAATTATAATCAACATAAAAATAAAATGTCCTTCAACAGCAATTAATTGGCATACGGCCAATAAGGTTATCAACTCTTCCTAGATTACATTTGTGAACATGATCTCATAAAAGTGTATTTGATCAGGTAAATTGTGCTAAAGTCTCACATACCTATTATATGGTATAATGTGTTGTAAGGTGCATTACGAAAAGCTCAGATGAAGGACATTTTATTGTTCAATGTACAGAAATCTAATTACTAGTTCAACTATTTGTCTTCACTTCAGGCAAAGCAGACAGGAAGAAAACTTACCAGAAAAGAAAAAAACCTTTCAGTTGAAGACGCGCCCCCCCACCCCACCCCCCCCAAAAAAAAGAGTAAATGATGCGATTTATAGACTTTTAAGAGTAATTGGCATCTATTTTGTATCTTTCTGTTCATAGACAGACTTTTTAACAACTTCTAATGAGATTTCAATAGATATAGAATCTCAAGCACTAAACCTGAAACTCAAATGAATAATCTTCCCAACATAGTAACTAGACGTTTTAGGAAAAACCCACCAACTATTTGATACCAATATCTCAAGAATCCACATAACGAGGAAAAGAAAGTATGATCTAACAGCACATATCCTAATAAGTAATAACTGCAGTAGCAGTTTTTTATGGGGGGGCAGGTTTGCTAACTCCTTTTCTTTCTTTCTTTAACCCCTCATACCCTTTAAACACCTTCACGCCAGTACCATCTTTCACATCCAACTCTTATCACTCTTTACTGTACACTGTCACAAGCTACAATGGCATATCTACATAATAAATAGCAGGGGCAAGAAAAAATTAAAAAAAATAATTACCATACAACGAATAAAGACAGCAACAAATAATCCGATTAAAGATGCTAGTTAAAGATATCAATACGTACAATCAATTGGCAAGGCTGAAAGTAAGAGAAAATTATATCAGCTAAAAACAAAATACTAGTTTAAGAAGTGAAAGTAAGTAGAAAATGCAGAACGAGATAGGAAAAATGTAAAGAGTTAAACAAGCAGAAATAATACCCTTCAATCAGTTCATTGAGCAGTGGCCATAGTTCCTCATCCCTGATCTTATTAATTGTTACAGATATCTTGTCAACAACTTGAATTGCAATTCTTATCTTAGTGGATAGGTTCCTTATTATATTCCGGGTTGAATCAACCTTGTTGGCTTCAGCACCCCTTTCATCTAGTCGCTTCAACTTGCGGCATTTCATGTCATAAGCTACCCGCATCTTCTCCTCAGCCTGCATTGCATCAGAAACTTCAATTTAAAGAGCATCAGAAAGGTTATGGAGCTATTAAAGAAAAGGCCCACGTGCTCTTAATCCAGAGAATAACTAAGCCATTGTAATGCCACCAGAAAACCAAGTCACGATAATGACAATATATTCCTAAAATGGGTGCAGAAACAACATACTTTGAAATATAAACCTCTATTATGTTATCCAGGAAAAAGCATAAAATGCAACAACATGAAGCCCTTCAAAGGTGAATATCTCACAGCAGTAACTTTCAGAGAAATGGTTCCTTAATGAGATGTAAATCAAATTAAACTAAAACATAGGCAGGTATATAATAATAGATAATCAAACATATTCTAACACAATACACTACAATAAAAAAGGAACCAATGTAAAACCAATACTAATAACCACGAATCAAGTAGTCTACACAGCAGTTTGAGATAATCATGAATATGAAATTCTAAAGAGCTGATAAGTAAAGGGTTGGGTAGAAACAGAAACCAATTTTAACAACAGGTAAAACATCATCAAGACACAATATACCTTCACGTCATTGTAGAGTTTCTTTTCCCAAAGATACAACTTCTGCAAAGTAGAGGAAAGATTTTTCGGTTTCCTGGCCAATTCTTCAGCAAAGTCTATAAAAGCTGGATCAGTGTTGTCAGCTGAAGATGAAGGCCCAGCAGTCTTAGAAGTAGATGGCTGAGATGATACTACTGATAATGAAGGTGTAACGACATGCAACATCTTGGAAACTGTTTCACGAAGATCCCCAAAGCCCACAGTTAGTATTACTTTTAGAGAAAAAAAAAAAACGAATCTTATTATTTTAATGAAAAAAATCTAATCAAGCTGCAAATCAAAAACTCATATTTATAGCAAAAATCAGAATTTTCCAATCCGCAGATGATGTATAATCAGAAATTTCTTACAGATCAAGAAAATAGACAAACCAATTACACAATAATCCCGTAAAAAATCATGAAAATCCTTACCAGGTTTGCGCTGATAAGGAAGTGTTCCCACCTCAAGCAACTTGGCAATTTCACTCCCTGCCTCTGAAGCTCTCATAAACTGAACCTTTATCTCTCTAAGTACCTCAAAAACATCCATTGGAGCGCCTCGTGAACCGTTACCACGCTCCTCAGCCTTCTCATCATCCACAACTTTCTTATCCACCACATGAACCTCATATTCCACCGCATCATTTTCCATCCCAACACTCGGCCTCGTCTGATAAAGCGAAGCCCCTGCTTCACTACCAACAACTTTCCCATTCTCATCTTCAACTGGGGACTTCGAATAACCTCCGCTATCAACAAATTTCTGATCTCCGTGCACTTCTTTAACCACTTCATGATGATAATCCTCATCTTCCAAATCAGGGATCCCTTCCGCTTCTCTCACCTCCCTCAAATCCCTACTCGGCGTATACGGACGGTAGTTGTTTTCATAACTCTCAAAAAAGTTCAAGAAATCCCAAGCTGAAGCTTTCGGAGGCGAAGGTGGCAGCGGAGGCGATTTCGAGGATGACCCCGCCGCCTTCGACGACGGTTGTAGTGAAGACTCATAACCAGGCGCCGAATAAGAAGAATAATTACTAAAACCACCGTAATTTTGGTAACTCGGATAAGGGTATGAACTAGAACTAGGATTATTATTAATACTCGCATAAGAGTAAGGATAATAAGAAGAAGATGAAGATTCACCCATATAAACTGTCCCTGCATTCATAGGCCTTTGTTCATAAACAATAGACGGCGTTGGTTGCTTTTTCATAAAATTCATATTCGTAAACCCTGGAAAAGACCCAGTTTCGAGAGCACCATAATTGGTATAATTTTGGTTCATATACCCAATATGACCCCCATCATCGTCGTGCAAAGGAGAAGAATGATCTGAATGGTGCAAAGACCCGCCAGAGTCATCTTCATCTGAATCAGAACGGAAGTGAAGATGAGACCCAGAATTGGAATGGGAATGGAGGTGAGAAACAGCACCTTTTTTGGGTGAACTTGACCCAACTTCATCTGGATCCACAGCTTTACTTTTTAGCTTATTAGGAGACGGATGAGAAGGAGGTAACGCCGCCCCTGAAGAAACTCCAAAATCATGCTCAATGAAATTATTCAGAGACTGACCAAATGACTTCAACGATTCAGTGTAAGCAACATGGGCTTCAGCAAAAGCAAAACGTTGTTGAACCGCTTCATCTAAAAAACTACATCTTTCCCGACAAAGAGCAACTGCCGGAAGATCATCTAACTTTGAACTAGAACATCCCATAACTTTGCCAAAATAAAAAAAAAAAAAAAAAAAACAAAAAAGACCCAGGTTTAGTACCGATTTAGATGAACAACAGAAAAAACATGATTGTGGTGATCGTTTCTCGGGAAAATTTTTGGGGTAAGAGAAAGAAAGAAGAAAGAAAGGAAGCCAACGAGGGAATCTTTGCCAGCTCGGAGTTTATCGTCGTGTTGTAGCAGAAAGAGAAAGTGGAAAGAAGAGACAGAGAGAAACAAAACGCTTCTGAAACAGTGCTTTCTTTGTGAGTCGGTATGTATTACTTGAGCTTATTATTATTGTTACAAACTAGATTATAATTGGTGTGATACATAAAATAATTTTATTTATTTAATATAAATATATAAAAATTAATTTTTTAAAAATTATATTCAAAATTTTAAAGTCTATAACATATATATAATTTATACATATTATCTTATCATTATAAAATAAATTTTTTGAAAATAATAAAAAAATTTATATCTTTTGTTTGGATATTTTTATTTATAATAATATTTATATACTTGTAAAATTATATCAAATAAAAATAAATTATGTCTTTTTTTAAAAATAAAAATATATATTATTGAACGATAAATTAAATAATAAAAAAGTATTAACACACTTTCACTTTAATAAATTATATTAAATTATTATACAAAATATGAAAAATATTAAAAATATGTAAAAAAAGAAAAAAATAAATTAAAAAATATTATTTTTCATAAAAATGAAACTGTAATAACAATAAAATATATCTTTAAAAAAATTTATAAACAAAAAAATAAATTACAATAGTAATAGAATATACCTTAAAAAAAGTTATTAAAAAATAAAAAATGATATATAATACATTATATTTGTAGTTTTAAATTTATATAAGAATTTTTTTAGTGGTAATTAGGATTAAATAGATAATTTTTAAATTAATTTTTTTAAAAAATGAATATAATAAGTGATAAAGATAATATTAAATTTTTTGTATTTATTTGAAATATAATTTAATAATTAGAGTTCAAATATATATAATCATTTTGATAATTTTATTATTTAAATATTTAAGATGAAAACTTTTTGAATTTTTAAAATCTTACATAAAATTACTTGAATTTTTAATATCTTATATAAATTTTTTAAAAAGATAATTTTTTTTTAAATCAAGATAAAAAAATTGTTAAAAATTTTGGATAAACTTAATCTTTATAATTTTTAAACATGTTTGAAAGATTTTGATAATTAAATAATTTTTAAATAAGATTATTTGGCAAACAACTAAAATTATTTATTAAAAAAATAAAATCCATATTTCACATTTTTAATTTTAAATATATATATTTAAATTGATTGTATTTTAATTATAATTTAAATAATTTTAATATTTGAATAAATTTAGAATTATTTAATTTGTAATTATAAAAACTATTTTATACTTTTAAAAAAATTATTTTATGTGTCATTTAAGAATTGTTTGTCTAAACATTTATGTAATAAATTTATTTTTATATATTATTATATAATATATATTAGATAAAATAAATATAAAATCAAACTGCTATGACACATTTTTTTTCTTTTATAGTTTTTATACTCTTTTTTTAATTGTGAGTTTAGTTAGTTAGACACAATTTGGTTAAAAAATTTTGTGTTATTCTATTTTTGAGGGATTTTGAGGGAGTTGTGAGTGGACTTTGAAGGGAAAAAAAAAGGAGAGAGGTGTCGTTTGGTCTGAGAGAAACTTTGACGCCTGCTACCGCGTTCATATCATGACGTTATTTGTCCTAGTCTTTTTCATCAGCTCTGATCTTCCATAAATACCCTTTCTTTCATTTAACTTTTAATTAAGTGATATTTGAAGGTTACAAATTTAAAATTTTATATATGTAATTTTTTTAATTAAATAAATAATAAAATAAAAATTTTAAAGATAAATTAATAATTTAAAAAAAATTGTCCTCTAACTAAAATGATTTAGAATATATATATTTTTACATTAATCATATGATTTCAAAATTTTATTTTTAAAATGCTCTTTATAAAAATCAAACCTAATTTAATGTGTTCACGTCCAAACATTTAGCGCATGATGCATGCATGATTCTTTAAGTTTTTTTAATCCTATTCGAATTATTTTTTTAGTTTAAAAATTATAAACGTACTTATTTTTAAACATTTAAGTCAATTACAAATGAATGATTCCTTACGCAATGCGATTACATCAAAATATTTATTTCAATTATAAATGCAAAACTCTCTATCAAAAAATGTCATTCAAATCTTCCTTCCTTAAATAAAAAATACAATATTAAAATATTAAAAAAGATTTTAAATTATTTTATTTTTTAAAATAAATTTTTATATTTTTGTTGTATCCAAATAAGTTTTTAAATTCAACAATGTTTTTTTATTGGTAAAAAGTTTATAAACTCCTAGTTTTGTATCTAACAAAAAATAATTGAAATATATATTCCAATTTACCAAAGGAAATACACCAAATTTTAACCTTTTTTTGCAAAGGCAATATTGAATATGGAAATGAGAAATTGGGGTTAGAAATGGATTAGGTTGAAAGGGGAATTGGGAATGAGTTGTACAAGAATCATCTCATTTTGTTATTGGTTGATGGGGCCTAAGCCTATGGGAATGGTCAAAAATGCTAACTTGATTTTGTACCTTAAAAATAGCTTTTTGTTGAAATATGACTAATATATTAAGCTTGGTGGGCTTAAGACCCCACTCAATAGTCACCCCATTTCTTAAAAGCTTTTATTTTCAGTTAAAATATGTTATCATTAGGGCCCGCCAAACCCTACAAATAGTACTAAAATTAGTTCAATGATTTCATGAGGAAGGGAATATTTGGTATTATTTTATAAAAAAATAATGTATTGGTTTGATTTTTAAAGATTTTTTTAATTTTAATTTCATTTTATTTTGAATATATTGCTAATTAAAAATATGAGAAAAATAGTTTTTAAAAAGTTTGAATGAGTAAGTTTTTAAATATAATTTTATAAAAAAATAATTTAATAAAATATTTAAAAATCAATAATCAAAATTGATTAATTTTAATCATAAAAAAATCAAATGAAACATAACTTATGGAACCAAGAGAGTAATTTTTACTTAAATTATATTCTCAATCCACATTATGAAAAGTTAGGTAAGCAATAATCCTTAATTTAGTAATTCAAATTATACCATTTCTTGAATTAAAAGCTTTGGAGTCCTCCAACCTTCCATTGATATTTAATTTTATGAGTTTTCAAAAAGAAGAAAAATTATAGAAAAAAAAAAACTTTCCACAGAAGAGAAAACCAATTTGCTAAGGCAATTTTTGCCGGATTCAAGGCTTTTTGTGTACATTTTATATTTATTCCTACATTAAATTTTTTTTTTCCCTTTAAGCCTCTACTTTTATAAAGAAAATTCACAACTGTTTAAATAGAAGTCATAGACTACCAAAATTGCCCAAGTCAAAACAGGTAATATCTGTTAAACTACATGGGTAATTTAGACAAATAAGCCATGACTAAGCAAAAGTTCCAACATTCAAAAATAAATAATTTAGAATTTCTTCTCATTTTTTTATATTATTAAGGATTGGAATGAAGATGTCAAATGTTTGTATAAAGTCACAATCAAACCACTAACGGTCTTCTCAAATTCATGTTCAAATATATTATATATAAACGTAAGATAATAAGATAAGGCGTTAAGAGACGTGTTAAATTTGATGTTGGCTTTTCTTCCCCATACTCAATGGCTTTTCCAACTTCAATATGCATGTATAAATACATACATATATATATATATATTCACCATGAAGCACCTACAAATAAAATTGATAATTAAGTGTTTGTTTCATATAAAATATTAATAATTTATATATTTATATGAAAATTGATTATCACGATTCATGTTAATATAATATAATATATTTTTAATTTTGTTAAATTTATTTATAATTTTTATTAAAATTTTAAATTATATCATCGTATTATTTTTTAATTTGTCAAGTTCATCTATAAATTTCACTCAAGTTCTTCAATTTTCATCCCTAAATCTTAAATTATATCTCAATTTATTTTAGAAAAATAAAAATAAATCAATCCTCCTGTTCAAAGGAAAATAACATTTACGAGAAATAATACTCTAATATGAGTTTTTAAATTACACAAATGGATAATTGTACGTAAGATTGTAATTAATAAGATCATGTCATATAAATGGTAATGATATATTTAGTTTCACTTGTAAAATTTTAAAATTTTGTGTTTGATGTATATAAGTAGTAATGACAAGAGGTGTTTGATTTACGTTTTAGGGGAAACTTCGGTGGTATGCAGCCACAAAATTTGAAAACTTTCACTTTGAATTTTGCTTTGAATAAGGCTGTGGAATGGCAAGCATGATTGTGAACACATTCTAAAGTAGCATGAGCATGGCAAGGCAAAACAAACATAAAAAAAGAAAACCCTCTAGCAGGCCAATCCTGCCCACAGATCGAACATTCAAAGATAAACAAATACAAGATTATATTACCTATAATTACTTCAATATAATTAATTAATTATAATTTAATATTATATAAAATTTATAAAAAAATTATATAAAATTAAACCTTTTAAATAATAAACTCTTATATAATTTTTAACTATGATTAATTAATCATAATTAATATTATTATAAAAAGCATTGTGAGTGATATGAATCCAACAAATATAGAACACCAAGTCCAACACTTTCTTCCTTCTCGAAGGTCTTTGATTTGGAATATTCAAAGTTCTAGCCCATGAGTATGCACGTGGGAGGAGGGTAGGTCTTTGATTTGGAATATTCAAAGTTCTAGCCCATGAGTATGCACGTGGGAGGAGGGTTCGAGTGATTAATCAAAGAAAAATAGAAAAAAAAAAATCCTATACCATTTTGAGTGTATGAGATTGACCTAATATATTCATGCACAATATCCTGCCTCAATTTGGAATGCTATATATATTTATTATCACTTGTATGGTTGGGTTTCAAATATAATATGGATGTGTTTTTATTTCCTCTCAAAAAGTGATTATATTAAAATATTTTGTAGAATAAATAAAAATTAGTAGAAAAAAATTTATAGGGTGATGGCACATGACATTTTTTTCAGTCCAATAACATGTAAATCAATAGCACCCCAATTTGATTAAAGATATTGCTTAGATTATCATATTGATCTATGATTCACCTATTATTATATTCTCTTAGTGGTAAGTGGTCACATTATCTTTCCCAATCATAGATGTACCATGATTGGATTAATAG